CGGCCAGCCTCGCTCCGCCTCTCCCAGCCGTCAGACCTTGGGGAATTTATCCAAGCTCTTAGAACAACAGGGTTCCTATTCATTCACTCAGTGACTTATCATGGAGTGCCTTTTATGTGTCTGGCACGAGGAGCGGAAGTTATTAATTTAAATAATTGGCTATAAATAAATACTACGGGTGTGGAAGCAATAAATATGAGTGTATATGTCATGGAGCCAGCCCTTGGGATCTCACTGTGTCGATGTGAGATAACAGAATGTATATATATTGCCCTGGCTGGTGTGGCACAGCGGATTGAGCACCGGCCTGCTAACCAAAAGGTTGCCGGTTCGATTCCCAGTCAGGGCACAGGCCTGGGCTGCGGGCCAGGTCCCCGGCTGAGGGCATGAGAAAGGCAACCAGCTGATGTTTCTCTTGCTCATCGATGTTTCTCTACCTTTCTCTCTGCCTCCCTTCTCTTCTCTCTAAAAATAAACATATAAAATCTTTTTTAAAGATCCCGGTTTGTTTTTTTTTAAAGCGAAACCAGAATGTATATATATATTGGTGTCTGTCCCTAGTTCCTGGCTCCTCAGGCCCTGGTGATGTCCTGAGTGGTACAAGCGCGAGGAAGGCCTCTTACTCACACACCGGGTCTTTGACTCCGGTGCCTGATGCGGGGCTCCCGAGCCCCTTCAGATTTCCTGGTGTCCCTTTAGGAAAGGACAGGCACCCAGAGAGAAGGTGGCCATGTGACGACAGAGGCGGAGACTGGAGTGACGCAGCCACCAGCCAGGGGACGCCAAGGACCGCCGTGAGCCCCCGGCAGAGGGTCCTCCCCTACTAGAGCCTTCATGAAGAGGGAGGCTCAGAAGCCCTGACTCAGACCTCAGGCCTCCAGAACTTGAGACGACAGCTTTCTCTCGTGCTCAGCCACGCGACGGCGGCGCTTGGCTAGGGCGACCCTGGGGACGTGACCCCCGTGGGCTTGGAAAACAGCCGCCCCGCTGGGCTGCAGGCGGTCCCAGTGGGTGAGGGCTGGCCCCTAGGAATGCGCTGCAGTGGGTCCCGAAAGAGATGACGGCCCCCTGCCCCAGGGCAGGGACGGTGAAGCTCGAGAAGAAGATGAAGTTGAGGAGTGTTTAGGGGGCGCCATCTGCTGAGAGAGTAGGAAGCAGCCAACACATTGAAAAGTGGGCCTCAGACACGTTCAAGAGATTTGTCGCCGATGAGGCGGACCCAGGCGGCAGTGACACCAACACAGAGGACAGGCCAGTGAGTGAGGGGACGGGTCAGGCCGGCACGGGCAGAGCGGTCACAGGGCCACGCAGTCAGCAGGGCATCCGTGTCGGGGGGCCTTGAGCGACACTGGGGATTTGGACTGCAACGGGGGATCAGCCGGAACAGCAGCCGACATCCGAGACACCAGCGTGAGCCGAGGGTCCAGCGCCATCGGCAGCAGGCAAGCCCCCCCACACAGCCTGCCTTCCCCACTGCAGACATGGCCGGCTGACCCCAGCGTCCGCGCCCTCCCCTCCGGAAGCCCCCACCAGGCCAGCAGAATGGGCACAGGTGCAGCCCCCCGCTGTCCCAGGGCAGGGGTGGGACTCAGCAGGGTGCGCGGAAGCCTCGCCAGAAGTGTGAAGACCTGCGCTCGGTCCGTGGGTCCCCGGAAGAGCCCTGGGAAGTTGGCAGAGCAGGTGCGTCACTCCTGTTTCCAAGGGGAACCCGAGGCCCGCAGTCCCTCGGCCGGTCAAGGACGGGCTGGGCTCCAGTGGAGATGGACGTCCGGATCTTCCTTCGGCCCTTTCCTGGAGGCCGACATAACGAAGCCCGCTGAACCAGCCTTTTTGGTTGTGGTAAAACACACAGCAGAAAACTTGCCGCGTCGCCCATTTTTAAGTGTAACACCTGTGGCTTTTCACGTGGCTGTGCGACCCTCGCGGCCATCCACCCGCAGAACTCGCTCATCTTCCCAAACAGAAACTCTGAGCCCATCATGCGAGCACTCACCAGCCCTGCCCCCAGTGCCCGGCACCCACCACTTGCCATTTCTGTGAACTCGTCCGCCGCAGGTCCCTCCTATTAGTGGAGTCGTACATTACTTGTCCTTTTGCGGGAATCCACATTTTTACCCCAGATTGCACAGAACGGAACTCAAGTTATAATCTTGGCTGCCTTGTTGATTCAAATGACATTTTTACTGGGTCTCTGCTATCTTTATTCTCTACCAGAAAAACAACATGAAAATCTGGAGTGTCTTGGTTCACCCATATGCTATTTTCATTTAAGCGGGCAGATTTTTTCAATTTTTTTTTTTAATCTCTGTGGACAATCATACACTCTTCCATGGAAGAAAAAAAAGGACTCTGAGAGTTTCCATGGCAACTTAATGTCAGAAACCTGAGGCGAAACTCTTGAAATTTATTTTCAGAATCTGTTTTTGTAAGAGTGGGCAAGAGCAGATGCCCGCTGATAATCCTATTTTCAAGTCCTTTTGGCTGGTTTTTACGTTTCTGCTCGTCCAATAATGGCTGGGTCCCTAGCTGGGTCAGGCGCCGTGCGAGTGGGCGCTGGCCACGTGATGTGGGCCAGACGGGAACGGTGCCGGCCTGCCGCGTGGTCACCCAAGGAAGGCCGCAGGGGCCCGGGCTGGCCCGGGCGGGCGGTGAGGGCGTCACCCCCAGCACGCTATGGTTGCAGGCTGGATCTCCGGTCAGGGCATGTGCAAGAATCGAGCACCGAATGGATAAAGAGCTGAAACAACAAATCGAGGCTTCTCTCTCTCCACCCGCCCCCCCCCCGCCCCCCGACTTCCTCTCTCTCCCAAATCAGTTTAAAACGAGCTGTTGGGATTTCCCAAAGAGCCTCCTCCCTGATGACGCTAGCTAAAGTGCGATGTGGGGATACTTATTTGGGGCAAATTGACGAGGACTGTGCCGGTCCTACCACACGGCGTCCGGGGCCTCTCTCCAGAGCTCCTCCTGGTTGTCCGCGTCTGAGCCCCCGGATGTTTCTGGGTACAGCATGGACATGGTTCTTGACCTTCAAAAAACGCATCCAGCAAAAAGGAGGAAATGCTGACACGAACCTTGAGAACATGATGCTCAGTGGAACAGGCAGCCGCCGCCAGACACACACACTGTGGCTCTGTCTGTGAGGGGTCTCTAACGCGGTCAGACTCCAAGACACAGAGAGCAAGCAGAACGCTGGTTGCCAGGGGCTGGGGGCAGGGGGCGTCAAGAGACAGCTCCGTTTCGAAAGAGGAAAAAGTTCTAGAGAGCTGTTGCACAACCACGTGCATCCAGTTAATGCCACCGTACTGCAGGGACACCCCAAAATGACTAAGGTTATAAATTGCATGTTATGTGTTTTTACCGCAATTAAAAACAAACGTCCAGTGCAGCCCTGCCCATGCAGGGGACGCATTAACGCCTGCTGCGAGCAGGAATCACCTTGCAGCCTCCAGCCCGGGCCTCGAGTTTTTTCTGCAGGTTTTAGCTGTGGGGTTAGGAGCGGTGGGTGGTTCGGTTCCCCCTCACTGCCTTTTTGGGGTGTGCGATTTCAGATGCAGCTGGGAGATACTGAAGTCGAGACTTTTTTGGGGAAAGTCATCTACCCAGTGCCATCCGTTTGCTGGACAAGTCCCGCATGTCCCTGTGACACACGGATTTTGAGTTTCAGCGCTGAGGCTGGCCTCCTGCTGCCACAGGTCTGCAGAGGCTGACAACAGACCTGCTTCAGGCGGCAGCCACTGACATCTGGGGGCCCTCTGTAGCTGACGGAGCACCCCCACACGTGCTAACCTCGCTTTGGCCTCTAGTATCTCCTCCACGCTCTGCCAGAGGGGTTCATTTGCAGAATTGAAACCTTAGTTAAGGTTTGTTGAGGTTTGTTTTAAAAAATTGGCTGTTCCCACCCACATTCCCTTGAGATATAAATAGAAAAAAAAAAAGAGGTTTAGTTAGCAAGGCGAGACATCCGAGCCACATCCACCTGATCCTTGAAGAGGAAATCTAAGAGGTTCTTACTATCACTTTTTCGATCCTATATAAGGTAGGTCAGCACGGCAGCAAAAGCACATCCGTCTTTTGCTCCCTTCGACTCTTTCTTTTCTGATTCTTCTTGGGGCAAAATCGAAAACGGTGAGTAGCCGGTGGTCCTGCCAGACCCCAGACTCTTCTTCCTACGTGCGTTCCTATCGCGCTGGCGCATGCTGTGCTCAGATTCCCCTTTCCCCCTGGAGCGGACCCCTGGGAAGACTCTGAGGTGCAGCCTGAGGTGCGGGCTTCTCGTGCCTCTGATTCCCGTCCCTCGTCCCTCGGGCGACGTGGCGTCTCTCCCACAGAAGGTCCGCGCGCAGCCCGAGCGCTCCCCTTTCTCACTGGACTTTGCAACTTGAGTTCCTCCGGCTGGCGCAGGGACGCGCTGGCGTGATCGTCGTAGCATGGCTGACTTCTGAACGGTGTGCAGAGGCTTCTATAGTGATCGATTCTGTAAATACGACTTTTATACGAAAAGGAAACCACGTCGGCCTTTAGGTCGCGCGTCTAATTTCGTCTTCGGGGCATCTCCAGGAGAGGGCCCTGAGACCAAGGGGGCTGGGATCTGTTCAGTGTTTGGTTTTCCTTTGGATATTCTTTTTTTTTTTTTTTAAGATTGCATTTATTTATTTTTAAAGAGGGGAAGGGAGGGAGAAAGAGAGAGAGAAACATCAGTGTGTGGTTGCCTCTGATATGGCCCCCACTGGGGACCTGGCCCGCAACCCAGGCACGTGCCCTGACTGGGAATCAAACCTGTGACCCTTTGGTTCGCAGCCCATGTTCAGTCCACTGAGCTACGCCAGCCAGGGCGCTTTGGATATTCTGTCTCGGCACTTCATACCACGGTTGTCACATTCAAAACACTCTCAACTGAACACACAGTTTCCGGGGGCCCACCAGGGGGCGCTGCGCCCAGCCGTGCCTGCTCCTGCTGGCCGCTTACCAGGTGTCGCTCGCCCCGTGTGCACAGGTGGACGATGAGCATCACAGACGTCCTCAGTGCGGACGACATCGCGGCGGCCCTGCAGGAGTGCCAAGGTACAGCGCGGCGCCCGCCCTTCCGGCAGAGCCGCAGAAAACTCACGGGATCGGGGGACGAGACTGTTATTGATTACCTAAGGCCACGGGGCTGTGAAATGCGAGCACGTGGCGGTGACCTTTCTGTGAGGCTAAAGACACTGACAGTGGAGGAGGGGACCGGCAGCCGCCACGGAGCCGTCTGACCCCAGGGGCGGCTGTCCCCTCGCCAGTTAGGCCAGTGGTGCTGTCGTCTTGGAGACACGGCCGTAAAGTGGGTGGGGCGGGGGGCCACGGGGCTGGGGGGCAGAGGGACGGATCGAGGGCAGAGGGAAAGCTGAGCGGTGGTGGTCAGCAGGCGATGCCCAGTCTCGGCTGCTTAAAAATCTCCCACTGGCCGCCGCCCCCTCTGTCTTTGGAAAACAAAAACCAAACAAACATGAAACGCCTTTTCTTTCGAGTAGAGCCCCCCCTGTAGCTCGATGACACGGTGAGTATTTCGAACGACCCACGTTCTCAGCACCTCGGCCCAGACACAGGATGGGATCCGACGGGCACCAGAGTAACCCGCTCTCTGTTCTCCAGACCCAGATACTTTTGAACCCCAAAAATTCTTCCAGACATCAGGCCTCTCCAAGATGTCGGCCAGCCAGGTGAAGGACGTGTTCCGGTTCATAGACAACGACCAGAGCGGATACCTGGATGAAGAGGAGCTGAAGTGAGCTCCCGCCCCTGAGCCCGCCTGGCTCCTCCACGTCGGCGGTTGGGGCTGCGGTGCGGGGGAGGCCCGCTCGCTCCGTGTCTCCTCGGTGGCCGGCCTCGGTGCCGGCCGTTCAGCGGGGCGCCGAGAGAGGGGAGGGGCCCTGGCTGGTGCAGCTCAGAGGCATGGGCGTCACCCGGCAAACCGAAAGGTTCCCAGTCAGGGCACACGCCTGGGCTGTGGGCCAGGGCCCCGGCTGGGGCGCATGCGGGAGGCAACCGATCGATGTTTCTCTCTCACATCGTCATGTCCCTCTCTTCCTCCCTTCCTTCCCCCCTCCCTAAAAATAAATTAATACAATCTTTTTTTAAAAAAAAAGGGAAGGACCTGAGTCAGTGGGCCACACATGTAAACACAGGCACCTAAGATTGGAGGTGCACACATCCACTAGTTTTAGGGGTTTTCTTTGGTAAATGGGCTTATCAACAAAACCCCGAAAAAACTCTCAGAAACAGAATGCCCCCCAGCGCTCTTACGATGAACGAACCCTCTGCTGGGTGAGACTTTGCCCGGCTACGCAGTGGGCTGCGAACAGACGCCCGGTTTGCGTGGACAGAAAGAGAAAGGGCGAGCGGGGAGACAGACGAGCGAGCGGTCTTCCGGCACCTTCCCCGAGGCCTGCGCTGTCCCGCAGGTTCTTCCTCCAGAAGTTTGAGAGCGGCGCCAGAGAGCTGACTGAGTCAGAGACCAAGTCCCTGATGGCGGCCGCAGACAACGACGGAGACGGGAAGATCGGGGCTGACGGTACGTCGGCGCCGCCCGTAGCGTGAGGGACTAGCTCGGGGAGCACGCGGGGGGGGGGGGCCGAGAGACCCGCCGGCTGTGAGTTCAAAGCCCCCTTTCTTATCCTTGCGGAGCCTCGGTCTCCTCACCTGTGCAATGGGACTGAAGTGAGGGTGCAGGTGACATGGGGAGAGACCCTGACAGAGTGCCTGGGGCGTGCCGTACCAGCTGGCCCGCAGGTCACGGTGAACCAGAAAACACCCTTCGCCCGACTAGGGCGCCAGCGAGTGGCCTGGCCCACGATGTGCGAGTCAGCCAGATGCACCTCGAAACGAGTGTCAGGAGTCTCCACCGAGGTGCTTGAGCCCCTCCGAGTAAGAGAAGGGCCGGCGTTCTCAAGGGCGTCCCATACCAGAGGGTCTGTCGTCTAGGGCAGGAAAGCTTCTTAGCGTCCAAGAGCTTTAACACAGGTGTGTACTGGACAGCCGCCCACCAAGCGGGCGGTACCCGTCTGGGAACATAAGCCACGTCCGCCAGCATTTACGGAGCCTTCCGTGTGCGGAGCCCGGCACTCGGACGGCAGCGTGGCTACAGGCTGCAGAACCGGCTCAGTCCGTTGTGACTTTGTCACACCGCTGCTCCGAGCCCGCCGGTGCAGGAGAACCCACGTGTGGTCCTCCTGGGGTATTAAGTTGAAACCAAAAAACCGCTACTTTGGATCCTTATTTTAAAAACTTACTCAGAATGATGCCACTACCACTTACATGGTGGGAGGTAATGGAGCTTCTAAAAAAAACTCGGGAAAAAATGGTTTAGGCAAGGGAAGATTGATTTGTTTAAACCTGACCATGCAAGACTTCCGAATGGGCAAAAGCTTACTATAAATATGAAGTAAATCCCCAGTTCTCAGTTCCTATTTATAGCATCCACACATCGTATTATTATTATTATTATTATCTTTTAGCCATATAAACTTTCGGGGTATGGTTATAGGGTTCAAAGAGAAAACTAGTTCAAAGTACCACCCTATTAAATGTTTCCTAAAAATGCAAAACATAGCTACAGAGTAGACAAAAACCTCCCCCTTCTATCTGGAACTGATCAGGCGCAGAGTTCGAAGATCACAGATTTTGATGGGCCCTTGTCCGGAGTTCGCTCACCCCCAGAGAGCGCGGACTGGGGGGGTGGCTAGTCCTGGTGGGAGGGGCTCCGCTGCACAGCTAAAGCCGCGTGGGCAGTCGGGTCCCGTGGGAAGGTGAGGCCAGGTGGGCCTGCAGCCCGTGGCAGGCGGGATTTCTTCCCGTGTGCCCTCCGGGGCGTACCCATCACCTGGCAGTTCGCCTGTTCCCGTTCCCCTTCAAGACGCTCACTGCCCGCAGCGGGTCGGAAAAGTCCCGAGCCATCTCCACTGACCCTTGTTCTCCCCTCTTTCGTTCTAGAATTCCAGGAAATGGTACATTCTTAAAGACCCGAGACCATGGAGAAAAGACACAATCAGCTGGAAGGCCTCCAAAACCCCAGGAACATGGAACACCCCACCTCTCCCCCCTAATTTATTTATTGTCGTCCCCCCTCCCCCCCACATGCTCGAGAGTGCGTTCTAGCCAGGTAACAGAGTAGACAGTCGACCACCCCGACTCCTCGGAGGGGGGGGCGTGCCCTGACGACTCCCGCGAGGCCCTCCGCAGACAAGGCCTCCAACAGCCCTCCAATAAAGACGCGTTTCTCCTCGTGGCCGGCGTGTGGGTGTGGTCTTTTCTCCCGGCGGGGGGTGCAGGGAGGCGGTGTGGGGGCTTTTGGGAAGACGTCCGGCCTAACCGTGCGCGAGCGCACGGGGAGAACGGGCTGGAAAGAAGTCACGGACGAGGGGCGTTGCAAGTTCACGTTGCAAGTTCACGTATCCGCGTCGGAAGTTAACGGGAAGGGATGTTGGCCAGCCCAGAACCACGCTTGCTGCTGTGTTTTCTGCGGCTGGGCACTGGATTTCCGCGAGAGGGACTCAAGGAAAAGGCAGACGGTGCGAGACCAGAAGCAGGAGGCTACGGTGCGCGGTGGAGCTAAGGAGGCTTGCTGGGCTGGCTGGGCACAAAGAGACGCATTTGCAAACTTTTTTTTTTCTTCTTCTTAGAAAAACAAGCCACCAGAGACTGGCCTGCCCTGACCCAGCCTCCCCGCCACCTCCCTCTCCTCTTTCGCAGCCACTATTTTCCTGGCTCGTATCTGACACCGCCTGAACCGATTACACCGAGAATGGCCAAACATCTGAGGCTTGCCGGGGGGTCCTGTTACAGGGCTCTCGCTCGGGCGGGGCGACCCCGAGCCAGGAAACTCTCATTAGGCTCCTTTCCAGGGGGCGGTGACGGCCGCTCTCTCCGCCTGACCCCGGGGGCTGAGGGCTCCGGGGAGGGACGGAGGCGGTTTCCTGGGCGCCCCTGTAAAATCTCACGCTTTTTACCCCGATGCCTAAGCTCACAAGGGCCTGGGCTCTCCCACCACACTCAGTCCCTCTGGGACCTTGAACCTCCGTCTTTCTGGAGGGCGACGTGACAGCAGCATTTCAGCGTGGGGGGGCATGGACTGCTAGGGGCCCGGAGGTGGCTGCAGAGGCCCCGGGGTGGGCACTTTCCACGCCAGTAACTGTGTGTTTATTCCAACGCGCGTCAGAACGAACTAAGGCGAGCACGCGCGGTTGCCGTGCTCGGGAATGGGGCTAACGGGAGTGTCGGACGCTGGAGCGCAGGGAGCAGTTCGGGGAAGAACGAGGAATGTGGGAGACGGGATTCGGGGGGGCAAAGCCATAAAGGCAGTTTCCAAGTGAGTCGAAACGGGGGAACCCAACTTGAAAACGAGGGACTCCTTGGTGCGTGGCCCGCTCCTGGCCTCTCCTCGCCCCGGCCTTCCCTGGCCTCCCCTGCAGGAACCAGCCTACTCCCGCCCCGCCCCCACCCCCAGCTGCTCCTGGTGCGTGGAAGTGCCTCCCAGGTGCGTCTGTGAATCCTGCGGAACAGAGGCCGCGAGACCGAAGAGCCTGGATCCTAGCCTCGATCCTGGCGGCAGACCACACGCTGCCTGCACCTCCACCGCGCAGGAGGGCACGCTGACCCCCCACCCCCGCTTCCGAGTCACTGCGCCAGCCCCTCTCCGCTGGGGGGACCTCCGAGGAACCCCCAGTGACCCCGCGGCCCGGTTCCCACAGGCTGCGGGCTTTCCACCCGTCAATTAAAAGCCGTCCAATGCCCTTTGGGCCAGCGAAGGCCACTTTGGCCCCCAATCGAGGTGAAGGCCAAGGGCGTTGCTCAGAAGGGCCTCTGTGAAGGAGCAGGGGCGGGAAGGGGGACGCGGGGCACCCACGGGGCACCGTGTCATGGCGTCACACTGATGCTCTGGCCGCCTTGGAGGACAGGTGTGTGCAGGAGGGTGAACTGCCGGCATCCCCCACAGACAGAGTGACGGTCAGCCGCTCGTGCGTGTGTTGTCCATGCTACTGTTTCAGGACTGCGGCTCAAGTCGTCTTGGCCCATGTCAAATACACTAATTTTTCATCCTTCCGACCCAGTTCTAGGAAATTAATTTTAGAGTCTCTGCCTACTGGCAAGAAGAGACAAGAAGTGGCAAAGAAGACGTCTCTCTGAATTTAACACTCAGAAAGTGTCGGGGGGTATGCCTAAATGAAACAATCTCGTCTTTACTCACATCCATTTTTAACCATATTGTTTGGATTTCAGTGTTTTGGGGAGTGGGGGGTAGGTGTTCCGCCTCTGGGTGCAGGTAACAGCGGCTCTGGGTGTTTGATCATATTTGTTAATTAGCACTGTTTGTTTTCTCGGTTATTTTTCTAGGTTTCAATTATTACAGAGACATTAGCAATTGCAAATCTTGGGTGAAGTATGATTTGAAAACAAATGTTTTCAAAAACTACCCAGCTTTCAGCCCTGGCTGGCGTAGCTCAGTGGATTGAGCACAGGCTGCGAACCAAAGTATCGCAGGTTCAATTCCCAGTCAGGGCACATGCCTGGGTTGCAGGCCATGACCCCCAGCAACCACACATTGATGTTTCTCTCCCTCTCTCTTTCTCCCTCCCTTCCCTCTCTAAAAAAATAAATAAAATCTTTAAAAAAACTACCCAGTTTTTGTCACTATATAAATTTTCTATGAAGCAATTCATTTGTAAATGGGTCCTATTCAGCACGTACCTCACAGAAAAAAAAAAAAACACAACAGTGAATGGATATATAGCGAAACGTTAACAGTATCATCTCCGGCTGCTCAAGTTACAGAACAGCGAGATAAGACCAGAGGCTTTCTAAAGAGCGATGACAGAAAATTAAACACAAAGAGAGAGAATTTACCCGATTACTGTCAGGAAGCCAAAGTAACAATAAATTCTGATTTTTAAAAACTTTCACCCCACGCTCGAACTCATGGAAGCCCCGCCTACTGGTGTGCTCCTGAGATCTCCACTCGGTTTTTTTAGACTCAACTGCAAATGTGTACACCAAGCAAAATTTTAAATGTAACATACCCAGAGTCAAATCAAAACCGGAGAAAACCCACGTAAAACCCCAACGGTCCGGAAAATGAGCAAACACCCGAACAACTTGATTTTCGTCTCTGCTTTCTCTGTTGACTGATTTGCCGATGACCACCGACAGACTCCAAGACGGCACACTCCCAGCAATGAAATGGTGTGTTCTGGCTTTGAAATGAGGGTCTCCACGGCACCCTCGGTTACAGAGGTGTTATGCAGCCGTTATTCTTCCTGATTATAAAAATAGGGAAGCAACAATTGGGGCAATTTCTACTTATCATTTCAGCTTGCAGTTTGGTAGAGTACTTTACAATGGAATGCAATACAATCTCAATGGCAGCTTCATGAACGTGTGTAATTGTTGGGGCTAATAAGAATGATTGAAATACTTCAAACATTATTTGGTAGTTGGCTTCAGCACAGCCCATTTAACATATTTATATGTTTTTTTTTTAAATGTATGGGCTTTCACAGTTTCTTCCAGCTCAAGCCAAAAGAGTAGCGAAAGAGCGACACTCTCCGAAACGCCCGTCTGTGTGTGCAGGTCTGCTCGCCTCATCGGCGGTTCTGTGCAGCGACTGCAGCCTACTTTCGTGTGAGGAGTGCTGTGGAATCCAGTTTCAAGCAAAAAACCTATCTCCTATCTCGTCCGCTGATGCTGAGGGATGGTATTACCTTGCAAACACTCAAGAGGACAGATGAAATTGGAATCACCAGGATGGTTTCCACCGGGCCTGTTAATTTATTCACCGCAAAAGCTATTCATTTACATAATGTTGAAACGGGTTTCAAAAAGTAACTTTTGGGGGGGGGCAGGGAGCAGATTTTGACATCATTTTCATGGGACTCCTACGATGCATACATGGATTCACACCTTAAATTCTTTTTAAATTGTAAAGTATCCCAAGCATTCAGATGAGAACACGCAGCGACACGAACCCCTGCATGCCCACCCCCTCGCTTCATCAGACCTTGGCATGGACTGTCTGGTGGCTTTGTAAGGTACCAACTAGCTGAGGCCGCGGGTACCAGTTAGGGTGGCCCACGAGGACCGTTTTGCCTGAGATTTGGAGGGAGGGGGTGAAGCAGCAGCTGGAGCGTTTACTCTCCGGGGGTCAGCATGGGTGGTCACTCACCCTCGGGCTCCCCTCCTCGGCGTGGGCTCCTTCTTCAGCTCCCAGCGCCAGGCAGGTGTGTGTCTCCGTCTGTGACAAAGGACACCGGCTTTCCCTGGAGGACGCCCATCACTACAGTTGGGGGCAGTAGGAGACTGACGTGAACCCCAGTCTGTCCTCACGGGTTCCGGCTTGTCCTCGCTCTCCCCTGTTTACATCTGTCATCGCTTCCTGGCTGCCGGCTCTGCTGGCTCAGAGCGTCGGCACTGGCAGGGGTCCCGCCAGGCCGAGCCCGGGGAGCCGGCCCTCACGGGCCCACACCTGCAAGACAGACAGGTGCGTGCAGGGGTGGGCAAAGCAGGGTTACGGTTGCGTGTCAATGGAACAGTTTATTCTTGTATTATTACTCATCAATTATTGTGTTATTTGTCTTTATATTGTTATTTCATATCCTTATGTGTGATTTATCTCTTAAGTAATGATGGTTGGTAATTTAACCTACTTTTGCCCATCCCTGTATCTGACTATATATTATGTGACTACATAATAGCATAACACCCATAAGAAACATCTAAAAATTACATTACATACTATGCACATATAAATATATTTTTCTAGTGGTTCTTGTTCTCCAACTGAACTCTGACCTACAGAATTTGCTTCATATTTTTTTCATTTTTTAGGAAAAAGAACCGTGTTTTTGAAGATCTTATTTTTTAAAAAGATTTTATTTATTTATTTTTAGACAGAGGGCAAGGGAGGGAGGAAGGGAGGGAAACATCGATCAGTTGCCTCCCACAAGCCCCCAGCGGGGGACCTGGT